AATAAACTAACTCTTTTTGAATAATTGGTTAACTTATGAAGAAATTTTTTTACAAGCATCAAGAGTTTATGCACTGGGTGACAATGGTAAAAATCATAAAAACTATCATCTCCAATTTTTCTAAAACAAAAAATGTTTGTTTCTAATAAATTATATTTTAACCTTGCCCTTCTTTAAAAATTTTTCTTCGTGAAAAAATTACTCATTCATTTATTAAATTCTCCTCGTTACTTGTTTGAGGTATATCAAGTAAAATGTTAGTTTGAGAATTGGAAACATTCTATCAAAATAATGTATATTGTATTTATTTTTTAATTTTCATGTGTAGCTGAAGTGGTATCTTGATTTTACAATAATGTGTTTTTTATTTACAAATTTTTTCTTTTAATAAGAACTATTAATTTTCAGTCTGATGGTGTACCTAAATAATTTTTTTTTTTTTAAATGTCACTTATACCTCATGAATTCTAAGCACTTCGTATTATATTAAATATAGGTTATATCTCATTATCACTCAAATCTGACCACCTTTTTTTAAAAAAATGATTTACTTTTTTTTATTGTATGTAGTTTAAAATTCATTTTATTCATAACATCAGTTACTTAGTGTTAGATCTAGTTTGATAACATAGTGTGAGACTGAGAAAAACACGTTTTTGTATCAGATTTAAAGAGAAATTATTAAAATATAATGCTGAATATATCAACAAAATATATTTTTTGATCTTTTGGCGTATCGTTGAACAATAAATGTCCAGTAGATACAGATATGGATAGACACAAACAAAAAACACATCATAGTAAAACTAATACCTTCTCAGTTTTCTATCGAAACTAAGAAAGTGTATGAAAATTATTTTTATATATTCGTACCTCACCAGATATTTTTTTATGACTCCCCATTTTTTTAGCGACACTTATATGGGAATACAACAACAAAATTTGTTTCTTACTATGTAATGATGACAGGTTTGCAAATAAGATAAAAGCAAATAATCTAATATCATATATACAGGTATAATATCAAGTATGCATTGTAACTATTTTTAGGCAGTCGGTATTGCCCTAGCAACCTATGGGCAATAAAATGGCTGCAGCGGATAACGCACATACGCGCACGAGCATGTCACATATATCAGCTACTGTTTGAACACCATTAGTTTAAGCATACAAAACAACCCGTTTTTGTTCCATCAGTACGAAAAAACTACTGACGCGATAAGAATTCTGAAAACAAATTTGAATTTAGTATCATGTCACTTAGGTATCGGTCAGGCCACTTTTTTGAAATTATGATTCCTTCAACGTAAAAAATTATTTTGAAAATTTTAAAATTATTCGAAAATGAAAACTGTAATAAAGGATTAAAAACATCAAAATTTCAAAAATATGGCCTGGCCGATACCTAAGTGACATGATGCTGAATTCAGATATGTTTTCAGAATTCTTATCGCATCAGTAGTTTCGTCGTACTGATGGAACAAAAACGGGTGGTTTTTGACTAAAAAGCGGTCGGTACCCAGACGCTTTAAGTGTTCTATTACGATAAAAATGTAAAAAAATAATGAGTTTTTCTGATGAATATACTGTGAATAGTAATTATTAAATTTCCTGACTGCATATTAATCTTAAAAATAGCACAATGCTATTTTAACAATATTAAAACAATTTTAATTGTCATAACATTTTCTATTTAATGTTATCAATTTCAAACTTGTAATTGAGCTAAAAGTTATGGTAACATATTCAATTTTTTTTACTGTTGTCATAATTTTTATGAGTCTATAAGGTAATTAGTAATAAAGTAAAGAATACCAACTTCAGTATAACATAAAGCATAAATGCATATTACGTTTATAACAGATTAACAATACATGAATAACGCGGATTATTCACACGGAGACGATAGAAGGTCAACTAACCCGCATTACTATCCATACGGATGACACAACGGTCGATCACCAGTATAGCAACGAAAGCTGACCTCTCTACTATATAAACTATATATCACACTGTAAAATTTCACAAAACTTTATCAAAAATTTTTCATCAACTTTAAAGAACCAAAAAAATAGGTTAAAAATGAAAATTTGGACTGATTATTTTTAACATATTAAAAATCAAATCAGTAATAATTTGAAAACAAATTTTTTTTTCTTTTAATTATTATTTTATATGTAATCAGTAATAATATAAAAAATAAGAAGTGATAGACACTAATTGCAGATTTGAAAACAACGCGAAAAATTGATTTAGAAAAGTATATTTTTGCTTCTGATAAAAGTTCCTTGTAATCCATTGCATTTATTTTTAGTAACAAACAGTTTTTATTGAAAAATATTGTATCAAGCCCTTTAAATTTTTATACACGTAAAAGTAAAGCAAAATATAATTTCTTCATTATTTTTATAATTTCTCCGTATAAATTACAATATTAAATTATTGAATAACAATTTCATACTAAATTTAATAACTATAATTAGTATTTATTCATATATTATATATAAAATCAAAGAACTACTAATAATGATATAATTAAGGAAATACGAGTTGCTTTTGGAATAATCCACCAATTTCTCTAAATGAAACACTATCTACAGATTTGCATCGAAGCGTTTCTTATGATAGTGATTTTAATCACTGTCAGATATCATCTATACTTGTCCCAACTATGCCACGTCCATACTGTGCTGCAACCTCACTGTGCAACCGTTTTATTACTTTATACTGGTAAAGAAGTAAAAGCAAATGAGTATCTTAAAATGAACTTTTATAGACATGCCATGTGGTGTGTCCCATTCACTAGAAAGATTCCACAACTTTCCGATTTCAGACCATCAGTCTATATTTTAATGTGCTAATAACTTCAAGATAACTGGATCAAAATTTTTTTTGAAGAATCGTCAGTTTCTTAATTGAATAATTTTATAGATTACAATGATATAAAATCATCTATTTAAAATATATATGTTGACATTTAATAAAAATAAAGTTGACATCCAACCTTATAAGACATGACAAATAAATGAAACAATAACTAATAAATCAAGTATTATATGAAACTTAAACTACCAAAAATAATTTATTTTTTATAATTATTATTTAAAACAAATCAAATGGCTTGCGTTAAAAAAATCACTTTGTATAAAATAAACGATTAAGATATTTTACTTTACTTTACTTTTTGATTGTACAAAACGACACAAAAAATCATAATCACAACAGCACCTCTTGCCCCTTTCAGATGTCCAAGGTAAATTACGATTATTTACTAAAGTGTATAAACAGAACAATTATTTCTTATAGTATATCTTCGTATTATTTTTATAGTTCCTAATAAATTAAATTACTCCCCATAAACAAACCTTTTAGCTTCGATGCGAAGCTGAGAAGGTATTAATTTTATCATGATGTGTTTATTTTTTTTTTTATNCAACTTTCCGATTTCAGACCATCAGTCTATATTTTAATGTGCTAATAACTTCAAGATAACTGGATCAAAATTTTTTTTGAAGAATCGTCAGTTTCTTAATTGAATAATTTTATAGATTACAATGATATAAAATCATCTATTTAAAATATATATGTTGACATTTAATAAAAATAAAGTTGACATCCAACCTTATAAGACATGACAAATAAATGAAACAATAACTAATAAATCAAGTATTATATGAAACTTAAACTACCAAAAATAATTTATTTTTTATAATTATTATTTAAAACAAATCAAATGGCTTGCGTTAAAAAAATCACTTTGTATAAAATAAACGATTAAGATATTTTACTTTACTTTACTTTTTGATTGTACAAAACGACACAAAAAATCATAATCACAACAGCACCTCTTGTCCCTTTCAGATGTCCAAGGTAAATTACGATTATTTACTAAAGTGTATAAACAGAACAATTATTTCTTATAGTATATCTTCGTATTATTTTTATAGTTCCTAATAAATTAAATTACTCCCCATAAACAAACCTTTTTTGAATCACTTAGGCAAAATTTTGTAAGTTGTACGTTTTGTTGTAACTCTTACTACTTTGGAAAATTCATCTTATGCATAGAAATCAGTCAATATTTTTATAATCAACTATTTAAAATTATGATAACTGATTTTTTTTTAATAATATTATTTCATTTCATTAGTTAACTATTTTTATCAATATCATAATGTATTATAAATGTATTTTTTTTTTTAATAAATAAAAGTATAATTTGTGTATTACATACTTAAATTCTAAAAAATAATTTGTAAATTATATATTTCTATTTATACATTTTAATTCTCTACCAAAAAATTAAATTTCTTTTAAACCTGATTTAATAATAAATTTTATAACATAATCAAACATAGTAGGACTAATAAATAAAATAAATAATTTAATGTAGTAAACATTACAACTACAAATTATCAATGAAAGTATTTATATACAAATTGATATATTCTAAATTTTTTTAGTTCAGATGACATGTAATATTTATTAAAGTTGAACCATCTTTAATTATACTTGATTATAATTAGTTATAATTATAAATTATGTGTCAACATTTTTGTATCAGTTGTATACTAAATCAATTTTACAGGACTATATCAGTCTCTTAATAAGAGATTTTTTAACCTTTTACACTTTGGGACAAAAGTTTAATACATAACTGGAGAGTTGGATTACAATTCTAATTATCGAGTTAATCTATTGCTAAGTTAACATAGATGTTCTTGACTAAGTCTTGAACTTGTGAAAGTACACATTAAACACTACTACATTACCAATTCATTCCTACGTTGTTTCTCCAAATATTTATATTTATATATATTTATTAATTATGTTTAATATATGATCCCAATAATACATTTTTTCTTGTTCTCTTTAACATAGTATTGAGATCAATCATACTTTATTTTGATGAAATAGTGTACAGAATTAAATAGGAATTAATAAAAAAACAACTTTATTTATTACAATGTTTGGATGAAATAAATATAACAACTAAGTAGTATTGTCATTTATATGTATTTATTAGTTGATCACTAACTCATAATCTTATGTATTGAATATCAAAATATTTTTATGCATTACCAAAACTTTTTTGTTCTAACCAAACATTTAGTAATTCATCACTGTTATCATAACCATGACTAGCAATTACATATTTATAATTTGTAATACTATAATGCTTTTTATAAAAATAAATATGCTTACAATGAAGTGGAGTAATATTTAATTTTTTTGCTAATATACCTAAATATATATCATCAAAACGAAATCTTTTGGTGAAGAAACTGGCATAATGGAATTCAATCAAAGTTGAACGAGACATAATATATGCACCAGCGGTGACATAAGTAGGCCACATGTGATATGGGTACTCGGAAAGTGAAACGTACCTAAATAATAGAAATGCACATAATTGTTGAAATAATTACTGATTCTATAATAAATTTTATAATTTACCATTTACTTGTATGACTTCTAAATGGCGATGAATTAAAAACATATCCAGAGTAAAATGTTTCTGATACTTCCTGTATGGATTGAGATTTCACTACTTCATTAATTATATTATTTGGATACTCAAATGGATTTTGCAAGTATTGAAATAAATTTTTTATTGATACATACATATCATCATCAGAAAAGAAATAATAAGTGGAATTTCTACAAAATGTTGATGCCCAAGTAATGGCACCTAAAGTCTTCAAAGTATTATTATAATAATCATCTACAAAATTATATTGCACAATATCACCATAATTTTCATGTTCAATTTGTACAAGTTTTTGTAAGTTCATGTCATTAGTGGTTCCTATGACAAATATTGTTCTAGTAGGCCTATTAGAAAATCTATTTTCAAAACCCCAAGTTTTTCTAATACTTGCTCTTTTCTCAAAATTGCATAGTGCTGATTTAACTAATATCAATAAATGTACATTTTGATCACATTTATTATTTGTCAACAACAAATTGAATTCATATGGGTTAATAATTTTGCAAGACAGTTGCTCAGGTATGAACCCTTTTAAATTTAAAATGCAACTTTTTATATCAGTTTCCAATGGGTATGAAAAGTGTTTATAATAATCCAGTTCAAAGAAATGAGTAAAGATCCCAAAGTAATATATTAGCCATAATACAATTATAAAAATATACTTCAAATATTTTTTAAATTTAATCATATAAAAAATAGTTCTTGTTATATTTGGCAGATACATAATTTTAACAATTATAAATAGTCTAAAATAAATGAGTTTTAAAAATCTAACCTGTTTCCTCGAAAAATTAATTAATATTGCAGTAGATTATAAACAATTTATATATAAATGCAAAGAGCAATCCAAATTTTATGACATTGCATACTAAATTATTTCAATCACTTAAAAATTTATTACATCAAATAAGGTTACGTGGAGCATAAAAGTAAAATCTTAATTTCGTTACCAGGTATTCGCAGTAATTGTTGTCGGAGCAAAAGTATTCGAAGGATTTTCTTACAATGTCGGACCATTATTTCAAAATACATTTCTATATAAGATTCGAAAACCGAACTTAAAGTTACATTTTTTTTTAAGTTTTACAAATTTGTAAACCTAAGTATGTTTGAGCCATAATAGCAAATATAATATGATATAATAAAAATATATAACAGTAATATCTAGTTGGATTTCACTGCGAGTAATAATTGATGATTACATTTATCTTAAATAGTTTCAATGGTTTATCAGTTAATAAGACACCGATTTAGCATTAATTCTTATTTGACAATAAAGAAGCTATCTGTAGATAGTGTTGCTAGCATGATGGATTCATTAAGGTGTAAATCATATGATGTAAACACTCCGCTTATCATCTGACTGAAAAGTATACAATACTATGAGTGCTGATTACCCAAAAAGACCTCAAAAACTAATTGAAATGAATTTGTTATTTTATTTTTATATTCCCGTAAATAGGGGAAATCCCCCAAAAAATTAGAATTGTAAAAATCGGTAATTTTCAACGTTTTTTAATTTTTTTTTTATTTAAAACTGCCATACTTTTTAAAAATAACCAAATCAAAATAATTTTTTTTTTATAGATGCATGATATCTTTACTTTTCAATTGGTATATTTTTTTTATAAATCTGACCCTTTACCTGCCTACAGGGGAGATTTAAAATGACAACTTTTTCACAAAAAATTAACTTTTGAAAATGTTCCGGAAATACTGACACTTTTATATACACCTTAAATTAAAGCTTATGTAATATACTTTATTTTGAAAAAAATAATTGGACCTCCGGACTTGTCTTCATGGTAAAAATAGTCACCGTATTCAAAAAATGCTGTATTTGTGTTAAAATTCTGTGTTTTGTATTTTATTTTATTTTAAAATATCTTATAAGGGAGTACAATGATTTGCATAAATATTATATAAATAATATTATATAAGTGATAAAGCATAAAAAGTTAAACTTATTTAAATATTTTTGCTTCTTTTAAGTCGAGAAAAATAACTGAAATTAGAACTAGCTTAAATTGCCATTTTTTTAGTCGACGAATACGACAAACAATAACACTTGAGTAAATTACACGCTAAGAGTACGAGTTTTTCAACCTGCCTGTGGCTATGATTTTTTGCATTTTTTCTAAATTCTTTTTGAATTAGAAAAAAATGTTCAACTCATATGAAATTTATATCATTTAGATTCAATAACTTCATTGAATATCAAAGACTCCATCACCTAGTTAGAAGAAATTTCTTATTTATATTAAAATTATTTTACTATGTGTTTTTTTTTTTGGGGGGGCTTTTATTTTCTCAGCTCTCACATATATATTAAAAGTATTTACTATCGAATTAGGTTTGATATGTAAATAGTTTTCGACTACAAAATTAAATAATTTTACTTTGTAATTTATTATTTTTAATAAAAAATGTTTACTCTATTTGTGTTTGTTACTACCAGGCATTAATGTTTCACTTTTTTTTTTTAACATGTTGCTATATAAATCATTTCAAAAAAAAATATTTTTAATTTTACCTGAATTTAACAATAGATTTTTACAATAATACTACAATTTTATAATATGCTCAATTGAGTAGATTTTTTTAACAATCTTTTGTTTGGTGTTTTTAGTAAATCATTAAAATTAATTTTAGTTCTATTTATTTCAATTGTAGAATATTTTGTTAACACCAAAAGTCACTTAGAAATGATTACTATGATTTCTATTTAAGTGATTTATTATAATAAAAGTGCAAAAAAATATTGAGCTTTTTTAGTAGATTTACTGTAAATAGTAATTATAACATTTCCTGACTGCATATTAATCTTAACAATACAATTTGTGGTATACATATAAAATTTGTGATAGATAAAGTCAAATTGCAGATTCGAAAAGAGCACGAAAAGTTAATTTAGAAAATTATATTTTTGTTTCTAATGGAAGTTCCTTGTAATCCAGTGTATTTGGTTATAAGCAAAGGCGTAAAGTATTTGAGTAAATGTATTTGAATAAAAGTATTCAAATACTTTCATTGCAGGCACGTAGACAAGGGTGGGCCTGGCCCCTCTTAGATTTAATGTGGCCCATGGCCGGCCCCCCCAAATATAAAATTCAATTATTTTTACGAATTATAAAAAACGGCTAGGCCTTATATACATTGAAATTATTATTAATTTGTGATTACTATTAAGTAATACAGTTATTATTGTTAGCGCGAGTCACACTATAGTATGGTCTTTTATCTTTGTTTGGCTGGTCAGCAATGTGTCTTTTAGTATTAAGTCTAATCAGTGTACGTTCCACCGCTGAACCATCAGCGACGCGCTCCAATATTAATCAAGGTTACATTTGTATTTAAATATTTTCATGTAAGTTTTAATTATAAATAAAATTAAGGAACAAATATTTTGTACATTTTATTTATTCATATTAAATTTAATATTTATTACATTAATCAAACAAATTAAAAAAAAAAAGGTTAATTGAGCGTTCGATTTTTTAACGGTTAATAATCCCGCTCACCAACAATTATTATGGCTGTATTTTCATTTTTATAATCATAGAAAACGTTATTTGAAAAAGATAACGTTCTAGACGTAATAATAAATAGAATAGCAATTACTCCAAACGTGGTTGTAGGTAAATTTATTTTAACTCTGGTCCAACAAATGATAACAAACTAAGAAGTATCTGCATTGATTAGAATCTAGTTGATTACAAAATTCGATAGAGTATACTCTATGAAAATTTTTTTGATAAATCTTATCTTTAATTTGTTTCTTTTTTTATAATTTAGTAGTTACAATAGGTAATTTATTTGTTTTTGTTCATTTGTTATTTGCGTGCTCTAAATAAAAGTAATAAAAATATGACTAAAAAAAGGCAGGAATTGTTTTTAATTTTAAATAAAATAAATTTTACATTGTTTATAATTTATATTTATTTAAAAAATGTTTATAACTTATTAGCTTCGATGCGAAGCTGAGAAGGTATTAATTTTACCATAATGTGTTTTTTTTTTTTTTTATGTCTGTTGCCACTTTTTTTCAGCTCTTACTGGACCGATTTCTTTCAAAAATACGTCAAAAGATCACAAATCGTATCTAGTTGAAGATATTACCCTTAAAAATTGAAAAAAATTTCCTCGTTCCCCGCAAATGGGGGAAATATCCAAAAAAATTACAAATTTAAATATCGGTAAATTTTGTCTTTTTTTTCTTAAAACTTCCATAACTTTTTCAAAAATAAATAAATCAACATAATTTTTTTTTATACTAAATTCTTAGATATTTCCCTTTCATTTGATATCATTTTTTTGAAAATCTAACATTTATTTTGCTTACAGGGGGGATTTAAAATAGCAACTTTTTTACAAAAACTAATTTTTTTAACTTAACTTTTGGAAATGTACCAGAAATACTGCGTCCTTTAAACATATGTCAAATTAAAGCTTATGTCATGGACTATAAAATTAAAAAAAAAAATTTGTCCCGACAACCTATCTTCTATGCACAAAAGGGTACCATATTCAAAAATATGCTATTTTTGTAATACAATTCTGGGTTTTGTATTTTATTTTAATTTAATAAATCTTATTAGGGGAATATACTGACTTTCATGAATATTGTTCTATTAAAACTTTCACTTTAAAAGACAAAAAAAAGTACGTTCAAAATGATTACTTTTAACCTAAAATCAAAATCAATAATAATTTGAATACAATTAATTTTAAAAATTATATAATATATAATTAAAAGAAAAACTAATCTGGGTATAATTAAGGAAATAGAAGTTGATGTTGCTTTTGTTCATCAATTTTTTAGAATTAAACACTATCTAAAGATTTGCATCGAAGCGTTTCTTATGATAGGGATTTTAATCACTGTCAGATTAAATCTATAATGGACCTAACTAGGCAACATCCCCACTATGGCGCGACTTTTGTTTCTTTGAAGTCGAGAAAAATAACTTTAAAATTTGAACTAGCTAAATTTCCATTTTTATTAAGTGACGAATGAGACGTACGGTTTTTGAGACTTTTTGAAAAATGTATGGATAAGCACAATTTTATTATGAAAAATATTATTTTTTAATAATCCCTTTTTCATTTTTTATCTTAATCAGGATATTAATAAGGAAATAGCAGATCATGTAACTTTTGGATTAATCCACCAATTTTTTAAAAATAAACACAAATTTTGAACTTGTAAGATTCATAGAATGGGATACTGTCTAAGGAGGAGTGGAGGGAGCCCGCCCCCACAAGCTTTTCATGGGAAACAAATTATGGAAATTGATACAAGGGCCCAAAATTGTTGCCCCCCCCCAATAAACATTTTCTGGCTACGTGCCTGTTTCATTGGTATTGAATAGTATTTTTCAATACATTTAATAAAATGTATCTGAGTAGTATTTTAAATACAATTATTTAGTATTTAATACTGTTTAATATTCAGTACTATTTTATATACTTTTTACTTAATACTTTTTTTTTTTTTAATTTGCTAACCGTAACACAGCAAGCAAATTAAACCCAGACAAAATGAAAATTGAGAATAATTCTCTGTTATTTTATATGTTACATTATAGTATAACACAATTATTGCGCTTATCTAAATGCTATTATGTATACATCTATTTTTAATACATCAGTTGAACCTACAATAGCCTATTGCAGGTTCAAATGATTTACTCTATTGTCAATAAGACATACTTTACAGGTTTTTACACGTGTACTAATATTTATTTTTTTTTTGATGCGAAGCTGAGAAGGTATTGGTTTTACTAAGATGTGTTTTTTTTTTTTGTGTCTGTTACTACTTTTTCTCAGCTCTCACCGAACCGATTTCTTTCAATGATACGCCAAAAGATCAAAAATCGTATCTAGTCGAAGACATTACCCTTAAAAATTGAAAAAATTTCCCTCGTTCCCCGTAAATGGGGGAAACCTCCAAAAAAATTACAAATTTAAAAATGGCTAATTTTCGAAATTTTTTCAATTTTTTTACTAAAAACTGCCGTAACTTTTTTAAAAATAAACATATCAATATAATTTTTCTTTTTATAGATGAATGATGTCATTACCTATCATTTGGTATATATTTTTTATAAATCTGACTTTTTACCTGCCCACAGAAGGGAATTTAAAATGACAACTCTTTTTACAAAAAATCAATTTTTTCAACTTAACTTTCGAAAGTGTTCCGGATTATACTTGATCCAACTATGTCACGTCACGNTCCGGATTATACTTGATCCAACTATGTCACGTCACGACTGTGCCGCGACCCCCCGTGCTGGGTTTTTTTCACTGATTAGTCTCCAATAATTAATTTTATTTACCTCTAACAAAAAATATCGAAAATAATGAATGAGTTCTCTTAATTTAAGAGTACTCCATATTTGACTCCAATTATCCTCTTGGTAATTATTTATTTAGGTGGAACCTTTTGCTCTTAGTTAAAATAAAAACATTATTATTATTTTTTAATTGTATTCTTAGTATTTGAAATACTTTTGTAAAGTAATTGAGTATTACTCAAATACTTTTGTATGAAAAGTATTCAAATAGTATTTTAAATACATTTTTTTTTAAATATTTGAATATTATTTAAAATACTTTTTAAAAGTATTTTTTACAACTATGGTTATAAGAAACAAACATTTTTTTTTGAAAAGTATTGTATCAAACCCTTTAAATTTTTATACGCATTAAAAATAAAGAAATATACAACTACGTTTAAATTATAATATTGAATTGTTAGATATCAATTTCAAACAAAATTTTTTTTCTATAAACTTTTATAAAACTCATCAAAACTTTTTTATAAATTTTAAAGGATCAAAAAAATAGAATAGAAATGAAATTTTGCATTGATTATTTTTAAAATATTACATCAAAATCAGTATTAATTTGAAAACAAATTTTTGTTTGTTTTAATTAATATGTAATTAGTAATAATATCAACAATTAGAATTGATAGAAAAAGTCTAAGTGCGGATTTGAAAACAGCGCGAAAAGTTATTTTAGAAAAGTTTATTTTTGATTCTGTTGAAATGTAGTCTAGTGTATTTATTCATAAGAAAAAATAAATTGTTTTATAAAGTATTGCATCAAGACCTTTAAATATGTATAGACGTAATAAGTAAAGAAATATAATCAAAATAAAATAAAAAATAAATATATTAAATATATGACAAATATATATTTATTCTTATATTATATTTTAAAATCAAAGAACTACTAATCATGATATAATTAAGGAAATACGAGTTGCTTTTGGAATAATCCACCAATTTCTCTAAATGAAACACTATCTACAGATTTGCATCGAAGCGTTTCTTATGATAGTGATTTTAATCACTGTCAGATATCATCTATACTTGTCCCAACTATGCCACGTCCATACTGTGCTGCAACCTCACTGTGCAACCGTTTTATTACTTTATACTGGTAAAGAAGTAAAAGCAAATGAGTATCTTAAAATGAACTTTTATAGACATGCCATGTGGTGTGTCCCATTCACTAGAAAGATTCCACAACTTTCCGATTTCAGACCATCAGTCTATATTTTAATATGCTAATAACTTCAAGATAACTGGATCAAAATTTTTTTTTATTAGTTGATACACCAAGATCTATGTCATTGAAATTTAAAATACATCTAAATTAACATACAAAAAAATAACTTATTTAGTATTGGAATGTTTTAGATTTATCTTATATGTATCGATAGATTTTTTTGAATTATTATAATATAATAATCAAAATAGAAAAATAAAGTATGTGGAGGTATGTTGACAAAGAAGTGGTGTTTGGAATTTTGGTCAATTGGTAAGCATCTAGGTTCTCTGTGTGTTGTAGAGTTCAAGGGTTTAGGACAGTAAAGACAAGTAGATATAAAAAGAAATAATAAATTTCCTTTTAATAAATGTGATCTAAATAGACTGACTGGTAATCCCTGCAAAACACTGAGGCAATGAAGGTTGTGGTCATTTCATGACTAAAAGTACAAACTAATCAGTGATAATTAATTAAAGTTTGAACATTCATTTTAGTAATTGATCCATTGCTTTATCGTTATTTAATCAGATTTTTAATAATAAATAATTATACGTTTTTATTGAGAAATGTAAGATCCAAAACATAAGACATATTATAACAATAAATTCAAAAATAGAATAAAAAATCATTTACATGGCTATTATTTAAGGGTTTACGTTATTTAAAGTTACATTTGTTTATAACTATAAACAAATCTAACTTTAAAAAAAATCTTCCTCTACCTCTCGTTGCTTCAAAATTCATTTCTATAACTGTTCTTACAGCTTCCCATTCTTCTCTCCTTATAACATGACTAAACAATCTAAGTCTATTTTCTGTCATCTTATCCATGATTGACGTAACACCTATACTTCCTCCTATATGCTCGTTCCTTATCCNTGATTGACGCAACACCTATACTTCCTCCTATATGCTCGTTCCTTATCCTATCTTCTCTAGTCACTCCACTCATCCAACTAAACATTCTCATCTCTGCTACACTAATTCTCTGCTCTACTTTCTTATCAACCGCCCAACACTATGAACTATACATCATAGCTGGCCTCACAATTTCATACTAAATTTAAAAACTATAATTAGTATTTATTCATATATTATATTTTAAAATCAAAGAACTANATATTTATTCATATATTACATTTTAAAATCAAAGAACTACTAATCAGGATATAATTAAAGAAAAAAGAGTTGATGTTGCTTTTGGAATAATCCACCAATTTCTCTAAATTAAACACTATCCACAGATTTGCATCGTAGCGTTTCTTATGATAGTGATTTTAATCACTGTCAGATATCATCTATACTTGTCTCATCTATGCCTAGTTCACACTGTACCTCGACCCCACTGTGCTACCGTTTTTTTTTGAAAATTGTAAATTTTTTACGAAGAAGCGTGTACTCCCGTAACAGGCACCCATTTATATACTTGACACAATTATGAATGCCACCGACTGACCATTGCTCACAATTTTTACAGGGCCTCTAGTATGCTAGTACTTCGACAAAGTTGACACAATTACTAGAAATACTGCCCTACTACTAAAGAAAAATTTACTGAAATTTCCTACGACACCCACAGTGTGTCAATACGAGGCCAACACTAGTTTTCCACCATTAGTACAGAACTGGCTATCATTGTAGCCTGTGTCTATATGGACCAGCTAATTAATTGGACATCTAAGACAGGTGCTTCGATATAGTTTATGTCAAGAAATAATCCTATAGATCTAAATGAGCGCATGTAATCATTTTATTCTTAAATACGAATTATCTTAGATTTACGTTATCAAGTGTAACGATAATACTCACTTAAATATTTAATATTCTAAATTGTACACGAAAAAGATTTTTGTAATACACATTATAAAGTATATTATAATTAAATTAAAATGTTTTATTATTTACCTAAGTAATAACAGAGATGAGATGGTTGATAGGGACATCTCTAATTGATGGATCAAAAAATACATTTTTTATACATTTAGATACGTTTTCAGTAACAGAAAGAATACAAGTTATTATTCCGTAGTATCTCGTAAGTGATTTCATTGACACGTGCTTCATTAAAGCGCATTTTGCATTGATATCCAGAGTAGCGAGTTCGTTTTTGAATTCTTGGTTGCATAGATCTGTAAAAAATGTTGATTAATAAAATAATTAACATTATATAAATACATTTTTTTTTATAACTCGAATTAAATTACCTGGTCGACATAAAATTAATGTCAGTATTAAATTATACTCGACAGAATCAAGTTTCATTGCACGATGATTGGTTATTAATGTCGCTAAAAGGTTTTCTTCGCTCAAACCAGAACTAAATGATAAAATGAAAGTACAAAAAAAAATTTTCACTAAAAAATAAACAATTTTATTATAATAAACTAATCAACATACCAGTTTATTATGTTGATTAAATTTGATGGCCAAAATGCAGCCATTAATACAAATATTTGATGCCAAGTTTTATTGAGAATTTTATTCTGTTCATTCATTGGCAGAACTATCAATGGCTCAGTCATTCTACATTGTCGAAGGCTAGTCAAAAATATTTGTGCACCAATTTCGAAAATGTGGTCATCTATATGATTGAATTTTTAATAAAATTTTAATTGATTTATATTTATAAATTATTGATGTAATTCATCTAAATTTTAATAAAAACTGTTTAGTATTTATAAGAGCTATTACTTCGAGTGTTCCAGTTCTTGGAAATTATATTTTCATTTTCGAGATGTTTTTGCGTTTTGATTTTTCTTGGTCCCCTTTCTTCTTGAACAGCTGGAACAAACGAATCGTTACAAATAATTAATATATTTTTTTTACTAATTTATGTGTGTCTAAACATTTTTTTTAATCCTATTCAAGATGAATACAATATTTTTTTTACTTTTTATACCAATATCTGACTCTTAGCAAATAATATGAATTTAAGATTAAGTCTCAACTTTTAATGTTTAAAAGTCACAAATTCATGTCAAAGTCTTACAAACCTAATACGCGACATTTTAAAAGAACAATAGTGTATTTTAAGTGTAAATTACTTTTTTTATTATTCATAACTCATTAAAACTATGCAATAAATGAAATGACTTTAAATAAATCTGCTGAAAATTTTGTTATCAGGGCCATCAAATTTGAAAAATGTCCCGGGAAAAGTGCAAATTTTTACTGGGAACAAACGCGACTACGTTTATTAGTTCAGCTTAATTATTACACCTGTAAATATTGATATAAAACTCATTTTATTTGTTAAGCACTTAATTTACCTGCAACGTTCATATTAACTCGAAGACACTTCTGAAGTCTACAGAAAGGACACCAATTTCGTCTAGCCTTATCCACAGTACATGTGCCAGAACCAGCTAAAAAAAATACTAATTAACGTTTTTTACAGGCAAATTTTTTTTATTTTTATCAATAACTGGATCAAAAATTTTACCAATACACGAATATATTATTTTTCGCCTTACGCTTCTCTTAAAAAAACATGAGCAACCGTCACAACAATACACGCCATAGTGCTTTCCAAAAGACTTATCACCACATACCCTACAAAAAACTGGTATTGGTAAAGTTCTTCCTATTAAATAATATAAATCATAATTAAAAATTGAATTACTATGTTACATATATATAACTATATAATAATGTAATTTAATTAATATATATTTTTCCATAAATAAATAGACACCATCTCATATTAGGTGTATTATTATTAAGAAATCAAATTGTATATTAAGGTTGTATATTAGTAAAAAGAAAACATTTTTTTTACATCCAACAAAGTTTTATTTAACTGAAGACCTCAAAACTTCATCTGAAAAATTATTTTTAAAAATTACAATTTTTCCAGGTTTCACTAAGTAGCTAAATTATTCCATTTTATGCTTCAACTACTGATTGATATAGTTAAATTTTAAAATAAAAGCCCATCACTTATTCAATATTTTAAAGCCCTTAATTTATAACAAAATATTAAAAATCCGATTAAATTTAATAACAGAAACAAATTTAATTTTAACTATATTTATCAATAATAATATTGAAAAAAATGTTAGCTTTATTATAAAAATAACAGTAGCTATCATTATGAGGTAGCATTAAGTGAAGGTGGCTAAAGTGGAGAGAAGCGTCTGGTGTGTTATGAGATAAGAAATAGTAAGGCTAAAAGGTAAGTTCTATAAGACGGTAGTGAGACCAGCTATGATGTATGATTTAAAGCGTTGGTCGATTGACAAGAGAATAGAGCAAAGCATGAGTGTAGCAGAGATGAGAATGCTTAGATATATAAGTTGAGTGACTAGAGAAAATGGGATAAGGAACACGAACATATAAGAGAGAGTATAGGTGTAACGTCAATCGTGGATAAGAGAAAATAGACTTAGATGGTTTGGTCATGTTATGAAGAGAATACTATAGATTTATTTTTAACTACCAAGATCACTTAAGCGGCCCCAACACGATCAATAACATTGAACAATAATTGATATTGCGCAATATTATTGAAATTTTAGTATAGATATTGAAGGATTGTACAATATATTGAAGAAATCAAACGGGGTTGGAAATTTATTGCATAATACACAATATTATTGTACGTTAGCATGTGATATTGTACAAGATTATGCAATAGTGGTTATAAGTTATCGGTTAGATACATTTTTAAAACAGTGGCAATTTATAATATCACATAAATTGATGGTAAATGCCACTATGCATTAAATATACGCCTATGATGATAGGTTACATAGGTAATGAATATTTTTCAATTAAATATTGGACAATAATATTGAGAGGTTTAGGACAGATAAATATTGCACAAAATATTGACACAATTTAATTGATTCAGTATTATTGATCGTGTAGGGGCCGCTTTAGAAAAATTTTAAAAGTCAATATAAATATATACATATATCATTCCATTTCATCAATAAATGCATCAGCAGCAACATCAATTACAGGTAGTCAAGGATTTAAAATATAAATTGTAAGCAAAAATGTACATTAAATAAATGCAACTATAAAAAAAATAAAATGCTTTTTAACTCAAAATGTCATGACAGTTTTTCTTATTGTAACAAATAATTCAATGATTTAATATAAATAAAACAATAAATTAATAAAATAAAAACATTTCTATATTCAAAACGTCTTTTTACAACTTGCGACATTCACAAAATAGCATTGTGTATGGTAACCTACACATTCACTGAAAATTGTATAACATTCACATAATTTATTAAAAAATTGTCAACATTCACCAAAATTCTAGTAATTTCCTTTATTTAAAAGCAACTGTCTTTTACTGTAACATATAACAAATAGCTATTAGTGTAAAATTAAAGTGCTATTTATTTTTGTAAATTTTCTGATTTTTTCTATAATTTTGTCATATATAACTCATTTATATACTGTACACTAAGCATATTAACTAATTTAATTTCCTAAAATCTATTTATTTCTATGCAATAGAAATTCTTAGTGATCTTTTCCTGTATTTCTATTATTTTTTTTGAGTTTTTATTGATTTTTAAAATTACATATTTCTATGATTTTTTTAAATTTCTATGGTTTATTAAATAAGTACATTTCTATCGCTTCTTTAATTTTAAGCATTTCTATGGTTTCTTAAATATAGTCCATTTCTATGGTTTCTTAAATATAGTCCATTTCTATGGTTTCTTAAATATAGTCCATTTCTATGGCTTCTTTTATTTTGAGCATTTCTATGGTTTCTTAAATATAGTCCATTTCTATGGTTTCTTAAAGATAGTACATTTCTATGGCTTCGTAAAATGTTGACGATTTTTATGGCTTCCTAAATATTTTAAATTTCTATGGCTTCTTAAATTTTGAATATTTTTATGGTTTCTTTAGTTTTGATCATTTCTATGGCTTCTTAAATTTTGAATATTTTTATGGCTTCTTAAATTTTGAACATTTTTATGGTTTCTACAAATAACTTAAAAGTTACACATTTCTGTCGCTTTTTGATATAAGAAAACTTTAAAAATTACATTAGAACCTTTTAATTTTAAACTGAAAAGGTTGTAATCATCCTAAATAAAGTAACAAAATTCTGAGCTTTAGCTAATATAAACTAGATATAAACAAAATTTTATTAAATAATTTTTGATTGAAAATAAATATTATTAAAGATTCAAAAAACTTCTGAGTATTTTATATCATTTACTAGTCAATCTTAGTGTATATTTTATTTATATTATAAAAAACTCAGCACAGTGGGGACGTGGCCTAATTGGGTCAAGTATAATGATATCTGACTGTGAGTAAAATCACTATCATAAAAAACGTTTCGATGCAAATCTGTAAATAGTCTTTAATTTTAAAAAATTGGTGGATAATTCCAAAATCTACATGATCTTCTATTTCTTTATTTATATCCCAATTACAAGTTTTATGATTTTTAGTGTAATATATTTATAAAATATAAAGATATATGGTTTTATTTAAAAAAAAAAGTATGTCGAATGAAAGAGTAAATAATTAAATTGTAACTGTTAGATATTTGAGTATGTGACACATATTATAATGGCACATCCCTTCAAAAATATTGTGCATAATATCTACATAGATCTTATTAATTACATGGAAACTATTAATTTTTTTAAGATTAGATTCTTTATAAATACCAGATTCTTTAAAATTTTAATATGTACCGACGAAAACACGGGGCCGCGGCTAGTTTGAGAAAATAAACTGGACAAAAGAATTCTATATTCTATATTGAATTAAGAGCTTCAAAAGTGGAGAAGAGCCGATCGCCGGCTTGTTAGCCCGCGATGTGCATGCAGAACTAAGCCTTTTTATATTATTTTTAATTACCCCCATCATGAAATGTTGTCAGTGATTTTAGTGATTTTCAGTTTATTCTATTAAATTGAACATAACATGATAATTACTTTAAGATAAGAAGCATAGTACTCAATAATCAATTTAACATATATATATATATATATATATATATATAT